CCCCCCCCCACCATCTTCTCCACTCTTCTTCTTGGCCTTTTTCCGTAAACTTAGCGGCTCTGACATAAATTACATATGTTGTTCCTCAGTTTTCCCCCACCAGAAAGCGAGCCCCTGGAGGACAGGACCTTTGTCTGTCGTGTGCGCTGCTGTGTCCTCGCAGCACGAGACGGCCTCACTTCCAGTGGGTCTGCTGCAGGGTGCTTTAGCCGAGTTACCTAAGACACACACTTGATGTTGGTTTGTGTGTGTGCTTTTTTACAAACATTAATACAGTTTGTGCGTATCTCTTCAAGGTTTAAATGAGTGTGAAAATGTGTTAACATTTCTTTCTCTCATCTTTATTAAGTGGTTTTTATTTTTTTAGCATAAAGTCATTTTTTCTTACCTAGGGCCTCAAGTTTTGCTTCTTTGCCAAAGTCCTTATTGGAAACTGAAATCGTAGGCTTGCCCACGTAATAATCCACAGGAACCGTATTGATCACATCTCAATAATACAACAGAAATACATTTAATTTTACAACAGAAATACGTGTTGAATATCAGGCAAAATATACACCCAGAGAACGGTAGAATGGTTGCTTGGGTTCAGTCACTCAGGGCTCCTTGAACTAGACTCCCAGGCTTTGTCAACCTTGAGATTTAAGGTGGCTTTCAACAACCCAACTCTTTGTCTCTTGGTGGTTTTAAGACTGCAGAGGTGATTGTTGTTAATTGAAATGCAATTCACATACCATAAAATTCACTTTCTTAAATTGTAAAATCCCCTGGTTTTTAGTGTATTTGCAAGATGGTGCCACCATCACCACTATTTAATTCTAGAACGTTTTTCATCAAAAAGAAACCCCATACCCATAAGCAGTCACTCCCTACCCTCTCCTTCCCCCTAGTCTCTTGGCAACCACTACTCTGCTTTCTGTATCTCTGGATTGGCTATTCTGGGTATTTCATATGAATGGGATCATACAATATTTGGCCGCCTGTGTGTGACTTCTCTCACTTGACCTAATGTTTTCAAGGTTCATCCATGTTGTAGCATGTATCAGTACTTCATTGCCTTTTTTTTTAAGTTTGTTTATTTTGAGGGAGACAGAGCACACGCATGTGGGGGAGGGGCAGAGAGAGAATCCCAAGGAGGCTTGGCATTGGGGGCTGGGATTCACAAACTGTGAGATCATGACCTGAACTGAAGACAGATGCCTAACCAACTGAGCCACCCAGGGGCCCCTGTACGGATGAATATTATTCCATTGAATGGAATACCACATTTCATTTATCCATTCAGCAAATGATGGACATCTAGGTTGTCTCCACTCTGGAGCTATTACAAATAATACTGCTCTGAACGTTTGTGTACAACACGTTTCACTTCTCTTGGGTGTATATATACTAGGAGTGAAATTACTGGATCACATGGGACCTCTGTGGTTAACCTTTGTAAGATTGTTTTCCGAAGCGACTGCACCATTTTGTATGCCTTCTGGCAGTGAATGCCAGTTTCTCCACATCCTCACCAACACTTGTTATTATCAGTCTTTTATTATAATCATCATCATAGGGGTGAACTGTGGTATCTCTGTGGTTTTTTTTTGTTTGTTTGTTTGTTTTTTTCTCTTTTTTTTCTCTGTGGTTTTGATTTGCCTCTTTCTGATGGCTAACAACACTGAACATATTTTCATGTGCTTATTGGCCATTGTATATCTTCTTTGGAAAAATGTCTATCCAAGTCCTTTGCCTATTTTTAATTATGTTATTTGTCTTTTTAATTACTGGGTTTTAAGGATTTTTTTTTTGCATGTTTCAGATAGAGTTCTATCAGATTTATAAATTTTTCCCCCATTTTGTAAGTAGTTTTTCACCATCTTGATGGTATCCTTTGAAGCACACAAGTTTTTAATTTTGATGAAGTCCAGTTCATCTGCATTTTCTTGGAATGCCTGTGTTTCTGTGTCACATCTAAGAGATTATTGCCTAAGATCATGAAGATATACACTTTTTCTCCCCCTAAGAGTCTTGTAGTTGTAGCTCTTACGTTAGATCTTTGATCTGTTTTGAGTTAATTTTTATATATGGTGTTAGGTAGAGGTTCATTTTCGTCCTTATGAATGTATGTATCTAGGCCCAGAACAATCTCTTGAAAAGTCTATTTTTTTATCCCCCTTGAATACATGGCACTTTTGTTGAAAATCAGTTAAGCAGGGGCACCTGCGTGGCTCAGTCAGTTGAGCACCCAACTCTTGATTTTGGCTCAGTTCATGATCCCAGGGTCATGGGATTGAGCCCCACATAAGGTTCTGTAGTGATCATGGAGCCTGCTTAAGATTCTTTCCCTCTGCCCCTTACTCTGCTCGCGCGCTCTCTCTCTCTCTCAAAAAAAAAAAAAAAAAAAAAAAAAAACAATTGACCATAAATCTGTGGGTTTAATTCTGGAGTCTCTTTTCCAGTAGTTTATATGTCTATCCTTATGCCAGTACCCACACCATCTTGGTTACCATGGACCCTGTTTCAGATTCTCTCTGTCTCCCTCTGCCCCTTTCCCCTGCTCGTGCTCTCTCTCTGTCTCTAAAATAAAAATAATAAATTGTTTTAAAATGACAAGAAAACAGAAAATAGGAATGAAAAAGGCAAGACAGAAGATCAGTTCAGGAAGTGCAACAGTTCCTGAAAGAAAGAATAGAGAAAATGAGGAGATTATCTGTGAAATAATTCGAGAAAAGTTCCCCATAAGCGCGGTACGGTTTCCAGACTGAAAGGACCCACTTGACAAAATAACGGAAGGGGATTAAAAGGTACAAACTTCAGTTATAAAAAAGACACGGGGACGTAATGTACAGCATAGGGAATACAGTTAATTTTGTAACAACTTTGGTGACAGATGGTGGTAGATTTAGCATGGGAATGACTTCATAATATATGTAAACATTGAACCACTATGTTGTATACCTGAAACTAATATAACATCGTATGTCCACCACATTCAATAAAAAAAGAAGGACCCATTTGAGTACCCAATGCAATAACGTCTACATGAAGGCATGAATAACCACAGATTTCCTGAGAAAGAAAACAGGCCACATCGAAAAAGAATCAGGAATCAGAATGGCTTCAGATTTCACAGCAGCAGCACCAGAAGCAAGACAACTGAGCAGTGCCTGCATATTTCTGGTAGAAAGTGACTTTCAGCCCATAATTCTGTATGCAGCCAGGTTATTCAGCCCATTTTGAGGGCAGAAAAAGATTTTGAGACATTCAGGGTACAAACGGGAGAATAAGCCAAGAATAGAGGACGTAGTAGTGGATAACAAAAGAGAGGGGGCCTTCTCTTTCCACAACAGACATGGTGGTACTTGTCAGCTCATGGACAACCGTGACTCTGATAATGTGTTAAAACTTCAAAGTGAACGGGCCACAATGGGATTGTGTTTAATTCCACTGAACCGCACATTTCGAAATTATCAACATGGTATTATATCCATTTACTACCAGTTTAAAACAAAAAAAGAAAAAAAGATACACGGGAGGTAGAAAGAGCCAGCCCATGCCACTCTTACAGTTGAGCTGTAAAGGGTAGATAAGGGACAGTAGTTAAGGGGTGGGAGTGAGGAATGGTATACAATTTTTGAACTGTTTACCCTGGAAAGTTTTTAAATTTGGAGTCAGAAAATGCAAGAATGTATATGTAAGTGCCTGATGCCCGCCCAGAAGGAGCTCAGCCCACATGGGCTGAATCTCACTGGGCCGGCTGTTGGTTCTTTTTGGATGTTTCCTGGGGCCTCTGCACTGACCTTCCCCTCTAGGGCAGTTCTCCCAAGCTCACGTGAGCAAAGCAGCTTTGATGACAAATAAGTCTTTCACCATGTGAAGTACTTTGACCAGCAGCCTCTGTTCAAATGTTGAATTCGGAAAAATAACTGTAGCCTAAACAAATCTTATCTTACAGCGTGAACTTCTTGCCTGAGCATTGTAAAGACTGACTGGTTTGAAAATGGAAAACCAAGAACCAGCGGATCCTTCTCAAAATACCAAACAGTCTATTATTTCAGAGGAGGTATAAATTGTTTTTCACTACCCTGCTCTCTCCCCACACACAGCCAAGTCCAAATGAAATGTGTAGACTGTCGTTTCAAATGATCGTATTTAATTCTTAAAGACAGGTTTTAAACATTGTTCCTGCTCCCTTTTTAGGACTCAGGGACATTCTGCTCTTGTGTGGGAGCAATTGTGTATCTCTTAATTATATGCACTCGTGAAATTGAGACTGTTTTAAAGCGGATTTTGGCTCTTCGTACAAAAAGTCTCAAATTTTATTAAAAGTTTGCCTGGGTAGAAGAATTAGTCCTCTGGGAGTTTTAGGGTTTAGACATTTCATACTTAAGCCTTGCATCTTCGTTAGCTGTTTATGGTCTCAGTATATATGTTTAAGAACAATAAAAACCTAAGCTGTTAGTTGTAGTCTGAATTCCAGAACTAATGTACGTCTTACATGTTATTCAGTTTAGCTTTTAATAAGTCTCTTCCTGCAGGAACCATTGGAATGGATAAATTTTAAGTCCTTCATCTTGGAACTCTGATCTTGACACCTTCCTGCGGTTGTTTATGATTTAAAAAGCTTTCCATGTTGTCTGTGAATAGATCTGCTGATAATTATTAGGTTGCTGCCGGCCAGAAGTAAAAGATGGGACAGTAAGAAAAAGGCTACTGCTTTCTGTCCGCAGCGAAACTCCCCTCTCAGTTCAGTATAGTGCCGTAGGAACGTTAGTCCTCGTAACCGAAACTCGGTGTCTAGGCAGAATGACCGTGGGCTGCCTGTCTCAGATCGGGTGGGAAACCCACGTGTCACTGGAAATGCAGCCGATGGACACGGTCTCCTCAGTCAGCCTTCCCATGTCGTCACTGACTAAAATGCCAGCGAGGAGTTTCTACCTACTGAACATACCTGTGTGACGGGCCCCAGGCTCAGAGCATAGAACGCTGGGTCCCAGAAAACCCCTCACTTCTTCATCCTCCCTCTCTACCTACAACCGCCGCCCCCCCCCCCC